CAGTGGCAGTTATCCCATATTTGTTAGAACTCTTACTGGAAAAACGATTGTTATAGAAGTAAATGCCGAGTTGGATATAGAGGCTGTGAAAGGATTAATTCAAGATTTCGAAGGTATTCCTCCTGATCAACAACGTCTAATATTTGCTGGTAAGCAACTAGAAGACGGCAGAACTCTTGGACAATATAATATACAGAAAGAGTCTACACTTCATCTGGTATTACGTTACCGAGGCGGAATGTATCATTTTACAAGTGGTCGGCAAGATTTTGATAATTTGCCTTATAATGGCGCCACTGCAGTGAAAAATGTTCTCGTATTTAAATTCAAAGATATCCGACATGCTCATCGGTTATCACCCTCTGAATTACAAAATTCTATTTTTGAAGCACAATCTGTTCTCTCCGCATTATACCGTGAATGCAAAGAAGCTTTCATACAAGATAATATTCCACATTTAAAGTCTATTATATTACCGATAACTGCTGATGTTGATGAAAGCAGTAGTGACAGTTAAGATGTTGATAGTGGATAACTGTTATGCAGGTGGAAAACTGAACTAATTAGATTATTCTTTTTATATCACAATAATATGGGTTATCATTTAATGAATCTTTTATACATTCGAATTTTTTTATTTTTATACTCATTTTTCGTTTGTCAATGCAAATAAATCAGGGTTTTACGAAAGGTATCAATCTGTTTTATCCACTCTTTAGATATGCACCAAATCCTTTCTATTTAAATTTGGCTTGGATTTTGAATTGAGATTTGGATTTGAGCAGAACGAAACAAACAGTTTTGGGATTTGCTGTTCATGAATTGTTACTAACATTACACTCGCATGAACGTTGGGATCGACGCTTCTGTTCTTATAGATTACTACTAGCTGAAAATGTCTAGTACCAATCAGACAATGATCGAAGCTTATCAATGACTCAAAGTTCCTCGAATGTAGAACGCATCGGTAATGCATGCATGTAGAATAACAATTGCAGAATAAAAAAATACTCTAAAAGGACAAGTTAAATAGAGAAAAAGAATGAAAACTTCAAGTTAAATTCCGTGAAAATATCAAGATATGCATTAATTGATTATCTATGATATTGTTTTCGTGAAGTTGTTGTTACGCTTTATTTTTTTATCTATCGTTTTATGACTTTTTATATTAACGGGTGGACCATAAAGGATTATACTACTTTGTTTTCGCTATAACTCAGTCAGTTTCGACCAAATTTTTTTAAAAAGATTCACCATTCAATTCTCTACAAGAATACGTTATAAAGTTTGTTATAAAACTTAAAGAAGAAAAATTATATAAATAATACTGAGAAGCTCCAATATATCCAACTTTCAAAAGTGGGTTTCCTGGACAGTTTTGTCGTTTTTTCTATCTTTTTCTCAAATATGATAACACGACAGAGTAAATTTTCGAGTACAGCTAAGTGCGCTCGCTCTCATGATCTACGATGAAGTCCGTTTCAACTAAGTATTATGAGGAAAACACTACTTTATTAAAAGCCGAAATTACCTAAAACTTTGCTTATTTTACGCGTTACATCTGAATAAAGGACTATATTCATACTCGAAAGTTTTAGTCTAATGCGCGATTCATTTCTCGTCAAATGAAGAAAAAACCAAAGCTGCAAAGATTAATTCTTGGTCGACTTATGCAAAGGACAAGTGGCGGTAAGGTCATTTTTTCGCCCAAAACATTTAGGGAAAAAAACTATATGGTTAGAATCAGCATTAAATTCTGAACAAAAGAGTATATTTTTTTTAAATTTTTTTTGCCGTGGTACCCCAGGAAAAAAAATCGACCAAATCAATTTTTTTTCGAAGTTAAATATTGTAAATATACATTTACAGCAACCATTCATATTTCTGTTTTAGTACATGTTCATTATCCTTTAAAATTGTTTTTTGTCCTAAATTATCCAAATGATTAAAGTTCACCGTAGATAACTGTATATTAACAATTAATATCTATTTAGATCAAAAATCCAAACAATTGTTTTTTCAAAATGCTATTAGTGCTCAGAAAAAAAGAAACGCTTTCTTTTAAATTTTTCAATAGTTGCTATTCGAGTGAAACTTTTTCGAGGAAGTTGAATAAATTCAGAGGTTTTAATAAAAGAATGGATATTATTTTCTATGGATTTCCACTAATGGCTTCGATGAAAATTTTCTAAACGTAAAAGTTTGAACGAATTAAAAATATTTCTCATTATTGTATAATCAATAATTAAAACAAATGTGTCGCAAACACATGTCAAAATTCTCCTAATATTGCGACATTAAGGAAAAAGGAAGAAAAATCTTACTCGTTTTTATCTCACTTAGTTTGAAATCGATACAAATTCGGTATAAAACACACTCATTTTCTCTTTTGCTTCATATTTTCTTTGATGAATTGTGACAGAAAAAAATGATGAAGGCTGGGTGTATATTGACAGCTAGACAGAAAATTAGAGAAAATGAGTGTGCTTTACATTTTAAATGGACTGGTTAATAAACACAGCGTCCGGTACTGGTCTCAAGATAATCCACGTGCAACTATTGAAACTGCTATGAAATCTCCAGAGTTAAACGTTTCGTGCACGATATCAGAAAATCGATTGATTGGGCCACTTTTTTTGATTGTCACACTATCAACGGCGAAAAATATCTGTCAATGCTTCAAGAGTTTTGGATTCCCGAAGTGAGAAAATTACACATGCGCCGCTCACGAGGGAACCTCTTGAGGTTATAAATCGCTTTTGAACGCGGACTACTTGTATCTTGTAGACCTCAGTGAGTAGTGAAATACCCTAAGTTGGTTCATCCCCATGGTGCTTTGTTGCTGAGATATTGAATTTTTAGTCA